CATGACGTCCCTGTCAGAGGCAAACCCGAATGTTCTACTCACCTGCCGTACTGACCCAGGACGGCTTGAGGGGGGTTAACCAGGCCCAGGCCATAGTCAGAGCCCCTCACAGGACTCTGACCAGAACCCGGACGCGCAGTGAGGTTGCTTACCTGGTCTGGGGGAGGCCGAAGTTGGTGCCCACCCCCACGCGGGGCAGGCAGTGCACCACCTTCTTCACGGCGCCCGGGTCGGGGAGGTTGAACATGACGGCGGCTGGGGAAGGGAAAGACGGCGTTACGGGGCAGAAACGGAGGCAGGGAGACCCGGGACAGTAATGCAAACTCAGCCGAAAGAGCAAAGCTGTAAGGAGGAGATAATCCCGTCGTTATGGAAAAGAACGTGAAGCCATGAGATGAAGATGAACCAAAGCTACATTCATAACATGAGCTTCCATGATGATCTGCCTCCACGTCTGGCTGGGACACTCACTCCGGTTGGCCATGAAGAGCTCCAGCGCCGTGTTCTGCAGCAGGTAGCGCCGGGAGAAGATGGCACGGATCTCCGTGAAGAGCCACTTGCCATGAAGGCCCTCTGTGTAGGCCAGGATCTTTGGGGGTGGGGGGGTTTGGGGGGGACAGATGGAGGTGGGTGTTAGCGTACCACAGGCAGAAACGCGTTGCGATTGATGGCCTGTATTGATCAGTGCCCATGGAAAACACATTATTTTTAACCGGAGAATAGTTTCCATTCAGAATAACTTTGGGGGCGGGACGCTATGAATTGACCACTTACTCCACTACAAGATCATCCATACTTCTAACATGAAAGAGTTTCCTTATACAGAACATGCATGAATAGCGGTGAGTAGGGGTGGAGCTGCATCCGAATACGGTATTCAGCAAAGCACAGAAGGCAGGTCTTTCAGAACATTTATTTCATAGAAATATTTTAAGAGTGGTTTGTTTTAGGAAAGTAGAAACAAAACCTGCAGAATGTTCACAATCTGAGTACCTAAATTAGCAAAACAACGTCATACCTTTAATTCATCAAAATTTACCTCCTCTAGCAGTTATTACAGCAGAGAAAATTTGAGGCATTCTGTCTACAAGGGACATTAAAAACTGCTCTGTTTCATGGGATGAAACGGTTAACTATTGCATTTAAACTTAAAGGACGGCCATGAATTTGCCATCATCACACAACCAGTTAATAGGATGTCAGACATGCGCTGTTACATACTCTTTCCATGTTATAAAGGAAACGTGTTTTATTTGGCTTATATTTTCATTTATAGTTGTTCACTCAACTTTCCAACGCTTAACCGGAATAAAAAAATCCGCAGCTTGTGAAAAAATGAAAAAGTGTAAAACCTGTGGTGTGCAAAAACAGCAACAGCAAACGGATGGTTCATTAAGCGTCGTTCTGGCCATCACAATACAGTACAGACCAGGGGTAGGCAGCCCGGATCCTGGAGTGCTGCTATCCAGCAGGTTTTCCATCCTACCTTCTCTCTCATGGATCACACGTGATCTCAGGCAGATGGCAACGCATCAGGCAGGATAGAAGAGCGGCAGGACATCGGCACTCCAGGATCAGCGTCGCCTACCCCCAGTACAGACGCAGTATACCAAATAGGTATGTATACAGTGTGTATGAAGTTTGCATAGCGTCCATATTGCCTAACGTTCTGTTGGACAGAACATGACCTGGACTTGTGTACTACCAGATCTCTTAGGGCTTCATTTTTGTTCTTGGCATATGTCACTTGAGAGAAAACCATTTTTATGTATGATGATTTTTTTTGTGTTTATATTCTGTCTGTTCAGCGTCTTCATATCAGGGTGGGTGGGGGGCAGTTTCACAATGTTCACACAGGCATTTATTAGTGTAGTTTAGAGTTTTGTTTATGACAGAATGTTGTTTTTGAAATGAGTTTCCTTTCAAAGTTTATAGCTATACATAGTTCATTATAATAATTATGAACACTTGTATGTAATACTGGCTTATGTTTTTCATAGACCCAGTAAGTTAATTGTAGAACATTTTAATACATCTTAAAATTAGATGAATAAAATGAGTGCAATAAAAACAAAAAAAAATGGATTGTTACACGCATTTCCCCTTTTATTCGAATAAAAACAAATAAATTTTGCTGCCTGAAAAAATACAGATTTAAACGCTGGGCTCAATCCCTACTGGTGAGGTGACACACTCAGATAATAGATACTCAACAGAAGAAGCAGGGGATTTGGTAACGAAGCAGTGGTAGTAGGGCTGAGCGATATCATATCGATATTTTATCGCGCATGTGCAATAATCACCAGGGCTTCAGGTGACCGGCGAATCATTTGGCCGGACACAAGCTTTTCAGGATTATACAGACGTTTATTTATACCTACAATTTAAGCAGATTAGTAGTACAGCTAAAATATTAATGAGATGTGTTTTGTGACACCCAAAAGTTAGCAATCTGTATAAACTTGGTGTATCTTTTTGTTTATTAAATTCGGTTAGCGGAGCACACCATACAATACTGTTTTGGTATACTCTGGTTTGGTATACTGTGGTTTGGTATACTCTGGTTTGGTATACTGTGGTTTGGTATACTTCAGTGCGATATGAAACAGAAAGGAACAGCTCAGCAGCCACCACATCCTCTAAAAGAGGAGATCTTGCGGATAAACAAGGTAAAAAGATGTCGATGGTGTGGTGCTACTTTTTGCAGTTTAAAGTCTGACATATTTATTAAACATAAGGATATGCCAAATTAATACTGACTACTGACTTTTGGGCATCATAAAATGCCTCATTAATATTTTAGCCATACTACTAATCTGCTTACCAATTTGTGGGCGTAAATAAATGTCTGTATAGTTCAGCAAACCTGGCGACCGGCCAAATGTTTTGCCCGTCACCTGAAGCCCTGGTGATTATTGTGCGTGTGCGATATAATATCGATAGGATAGCATGAACATTTCAATTTTTACAAAGGTCCTTCATGAATTAGAAAATGCTTACAGCATCAAACAGCACAAAGAAAACTATGGATGCTGTTGTATCTGTTGTAGCAAAAAAAAAAAAAAAAAAAAGTAACAACACAAAAGAAGCCATAATGATTTTGCTCGACCAATCACAGAACTTGCAGCCAGCTAACAGGCCAATCAGAAAGAGAGACTCCTGTTGAACCCTCATTAGTGGGAGACAGCTCGTCCGCCAGGTTCTGGGCCATTCCTGTAGGGCAGTGACGGACCTGCAGAGGGGATGGGAATGCCCGGCGACGCAAAGCCGAAACCGGCTGGCTCCCTCTAGAAGGGGGGTTAACTATCATTTTGTCAGCTGGGGCTCGGGAAAAGAAATAAATTACGGAGCCTGTGGATGAACTCGGCGGAGTCTCTCGACGGACGCGGAGCTCGTCAGAGTAACTTGTTACGGAGCGTGTCAGCCGGCGTGACACTCCGCCGACGCCACAGCCTGTCTGTGCAATTCAACCTCATCTCATCTTGTTGTTTTGCCGTTTACTCCCCCCCCCCCCTTCCACCGCTACCTTGCTCCTCTCAGAGCCTAATTACCAAGGTGTTGTGGACTGGCAAGGAGGGGGCCACTTCGCCCTGGTGACGGAGCGGGAACAGCATTAATCAAAAATATTCAAATGAGCAGAGCGAGGGTGTTGGCAGCTCCTAAAGTGCTCATTAAACGGGGGCGACGGCACGGCAGCAGCTGCGGCCCCGGCCCGGCAAAAGGCCGACGTCTCCCTCCGGAATCGCATCAGCCGGATCGCCGGACCCACTTCAAAGTCTCTGGAGTTCAATTAAATGTGGATTAGGCGGGGGCTGCCCATCCGCGGGGGCCCGGACAGGACCAGAGAGGCAGGACCCGGCCCTTCGCTGTCTGCCGGTCGCCATGGCAACCGCATCGCATTCCACTCGTTTTCCAGCAGATTCTGCGTTTTTTTTTTTTTTTTATGTTTGGTGCGTTTACTTCAGTTGAAGTCAAACTGAGAGAAAAAAAAAAACACACTGGGATTCAATAAATTATTTAAGGAGCTTTGCGGCCGCCGTTGCTGACAGGCCATCGGAAAGCGGGCAGAGGCCCTTTAACGCGGACGTCCGTCTGTTTCCGCTCCTTGCCACAGGGGGCGCCGCAGGCGCAGAGCTGCGGGAGGCTTTGCCTGTGGCTCCCCTCTGCCGGCACGTTCCTTTAAATGCCCTCACAGCAACCTGACATGCTCAACAGGACGAGACGTGCAAATGGGGAGGGGGGCTGAGCCAGAGCCTGTGGCTTACAGCCCCTTCCCACATCAATGCTCAGTGGTAACAAGCTACAAAAAAAATCACATCAAATAACTCAAATCATATGAAATGCTCTCCTCCACTGTCTTCTGGCATTCTTTCTTTCCCTTTCTCCCTATTTCATGAACTATTTCGTATAAATGAGGCAGTAATGTAATGCTACCCACTCCTGTCCAGTATGATATTGTGAAAGAAAATAGAAAAAAACAAAACAAATTTAAACTGAATATCAAATACTCTTCATAAAACAATCTAGTACGTTTAGCTGAGCAGACAGACCCAACTATCTTTCAGGGTGACCTTTCAAAGTGCGGCACTGTGCAGAAGTCATAGGCAGCCAAAGGAAATGTTTAAAGCTATTTATCTGGGTAGTAGGTGTAAATGTGTTCCGAACAAAAACACAAATCGATGGGAGAATTTATGAAAATTAAGCATAACAAGAAAAACTGACAAGAATTTCTTTGGTTCGCCAAAAAGTCACTTAATATCTTGTTGGCTATTAGAACACAGCTTCAGCTCCCAAACAGCTCTCCTCAGGGGCACCTCAGCCACTCCATGTGTTTGTTACATTTCACCAGCAGCTCACTTAAATCATAAATTTTATGAAAAAAAAAAGTAAATGAAGTATCGATTAGCCATATGAAATGTGCCAGTGGTCTAGTCAAAAAAATACATGGGGTGTATTAGATGGTTACGGCAAATGCAAGTTTTGAAACGGCTAAGATGAAACACTGACAGACATAATAACATGAAGACCAATTAAGCATCATTTCAGCAGACGGCCCAAGACTTTCACACAGTACTATTCAAGGGCTTAGAGAACGTGATCCAAAACAGGCCTACGTTTGTCGCGTCTCCCACACAAAAGAATGAGATGCATAATTAGCACTTTAATCTAATAAACGCTAAATTAAAAACAAAGACAGAGCATCTTTTTTTCCCACCTAATGACAGCACGGTCCCAGTCACCTGGGGTTTCGAGGCCTGAAGCAGGACGTGGCAGCGCATTTTCAGGGGAAGACAGGGGTGCAGGTCACATGTGCAGGGAGGGCAGGGATGTGCAGCCCACCTTGGCATGGCCTGTACAGCCTGGGCTGGTACACGTATATATTGGAACGTGTCTATGGCCTAATCCCAGATCGACCAGCAGGACATGCAAGGTCAAGCCAGAACACACTGCAGGAGGCTGAACGTCAATTAAGTTCCCACAACCCCAGCCTCCTAGACAGAAGGTCACCGACAAAGATTGTGACACTTTTGAAGTAGAGCTTAACTGTGGGGCACAGCTACAACTATACAGTCGACGAAGGATAACAAA